AGCAAAGACGTCACTTTGAGACTAAGTTGAGCCTGACCCAAGCCATGGTATTTTCAATCACCTTGTGTGCATGTGAAAGTTGGATAATTAATAAGGAAGACCGTAGAAGAATTGATGCATTTGAATTATGGTGTTTGAGAACAGTGAAAGTACCATGGACTGCCAGAAGAATCAACACACCCGTCACGGACACCCGTCACGGAAGAAGCAATGCCAGAATGCTACTTAGAAGCGAGGATGGAGAGAGTTCATCTCATGTATTTGGACATGTTAACAGGCGGGATCAGTCCCTGGAGGACATTATGTTTGGAAAAGTGGAGGGTCAATGAAAAATAGGAAGACTCCCAACAAGTTTGATTGACACTGTAGCCACAACAATGGGCTCAAACATAACAACAATTATGAAGATGGCACAGAACCAGGCAGTGTATTGTGTAGTGTATAGAGTTGCTATGAGTTGGAGCTGGCTTGATGGACTGTAACAACAACAACATTATATATTTATGACTCATGCCTTTGTTCTTTGTATGTTACACATGATTAAAGTGTTTTTGTTTTCTTTTAAAAAGGATATGCATGCATATACATATTTGTATATGCACAGAAAATATATAGAAAGGGAACATGTTTAACTGTGAACGATAGTTATCCTTGAGGAAGGGGGTTAAGGGGACCCCGGATGGGAGGAAAAGTTATTTCATCATGTATCCTTTTGTACTGTTTGAATCTAACGACCACCAATATCCCCACCACACAAGGAACTTCACAAAGAAAAAGAACATATGTAGTTTTTAAACCATCAAGTGTATGTGAAAATATGAACCGATATACAGAAGGGAGACAGATCTCAGATTCAACGGGCTGTCTGTCAGCACACGTGAACCACCGTATGAAGACAAAATTGCTCATGGAACAATGTAGCTCCAGGTTTTGTGAATCTGATCTAGGCACCATTCTTCCTCTAAATAGGGATCAAATTCAATAATATCATGTGATTGTATAACTGCAAGTCTTTCAAAACTTTCTATTCAGTCAAGCACATTTTACAAAGGCATAAAACGGTCTCAAGTGTAAAATTAGAAGGAGGGATGTGTTAAACAAATACACCTAGTAAAGTTTCAGTCCCCAGAGGCCAAGTGGCCAGCAGTTCTTTAGGTTGATAAAGGTAATGGTGTTGCTGTACCTCCTGCTATTCAGGCTGAATTCTCTCTATGACCCTTTATAGTAATGGTAAGAGCTGAGAATATACAAGTAATAGCTTGTATGTATGACCCATCGTTCTAATGCCTGTACTTCGGCACACTTGGCAATCTCAGAACTACAGTTGCAGAAATGTTATGGGATCTCTCAAAGATAAAAGCTGCAGTTCTTTTTCCACATTCAAAGACTCTGTTCTTCATGGCCAATTTTGAAATATATGAGGCTTAGGCTAGAGATAAAGTTATCTGCTTACTTAAGATGATACAACTTTAGTTTCCATCTACAATCTAAATCTCCAAAAGACTCAAGCAGGAGTTACCTGTCCTCTAAACAGGACTCCTGGTATGGTACTGCAGGATAATGCGCTGGACTACAAGGTCAGTTTGAATCTGAAGATCAGCAATTCAAACCCACTAGCCACTCCTTAGAAACCGATACAGGATGGCTATGAGTCAGAACCAACTTGATGGCACTCAACAACAATAATAGCAATCCTCCAAACGACTCCAAATGAATGTACTGTATTTTGCCCAGTGGAGTATCTACAAACAACAGCACCTATGGCAAGTCTTGAAATGGCATCTCTGTCCACGTCACAGTGGGTTAAGTGCTGGACTTTTCAACAAGGTTGGTGGCTCAAACCCACCAGCTTCTCTGAGGGATGAAGTTGAGGCTGTCTGCTCCCATAAAGAGTCACAGTCCTGGACACCTTACTCTGTCCTGTAGCGTTACTATGATTCATAATCAACTTGACCAACACTATCTTTTAGATCACTTTACATTATTATCAGGAGCATGGTGGCTCTGTACAATAAGCACTGGACTGTGAACCATAAGTTTGGTGGTTCGAGCTCACCAAAAACTTCATGGGATAAAGATGAGACTTTCTGCTCCCGCAATGATATACAGCCTTGGAAACCCTAAAGAAGGCTGTTATGAGTCAGAACTAACTTGACGGTGCTTAACAACAACCACACAATCAGCTCAAAACTACAAGTCAAGCTCATTTAATCTTTGCCTTAAGACATTACTATCACTACCTGGTAACTACAGCTGCCTCTTCCTTGGTTTCACTGATGAAAATTGGTCTGTGATGTACTCAGTCATTATTTTTTTTTTTATTTTTTTTTTTTCTCTTTCTACACTTCGCAGAGCAAGATCACGGTCTATCTTGACCCATGGAGGCTCTCAAATATGAAAGTAAAAGTTAGCTTGCTGAATGAGCTCTCACAGCTGGCAGTGGAAATTGCTATGGTTACGAGAAATTGCTCAGTGGTGCCCACTTGCAAGTGGTATGCAGGGCATGTGCCATACCTGCCATGTCTTAGAAATGCTCTGATTTTATGAAGACTCCTGGTTCTATAAGGATGCTGGCCAGAAACACACACACACATGCACACACATATGTCATTAAATAAAAGACATGTTTTACAGAGAAATAATGGCCCTACTAAAGAGAGCAGGAGCTCTGGTAGCGAAGTGGTTATAAGTAGGGCTGCTAACCTCATAGTGAGCAGTTCAAAACTACCAGCAGTAGTTTTGTGGGAGAAAGATGAGGCTTTCTGCTTCCATAAAGATTTACAGCCTCGGAAACCCTGTACAGGGTCGTTATGTGTCGGAACCAACTCCACGGCACACACCACCACCACCACCACTAAAGAGGGCACACTTACCAGCTGTAACTGTTTTAAAAAATCCGTGAAGACATCACTTCTCAACACGCTTGGGTCCATGGATACTGAAAAACAAGGAGAGCAAACTGAATTAGCAGTGGGCTGGGCTGCGCTTTATCAAATTGCTCCACTCTCCAAGAGTCCTCTGTGCCTTGCCAGAGTGAGTTTGTCTCCTCGAAGGCAGTGGAGCTGGTGACCTCTCATAGACTGGAATTCCACTGAGGTTTCCTTCTCCAGGCAGCCTCGACAACAGCGTGAACCCATCCCACCAACCCAGGGTGACTGTGTTCACAGCAACCTCTTATTCAGGCACGCTACTGCTCCTGGTGTGACGCTGTGCGTCAGACTGGGAAGTCGTTTGAACTGCAAGGTCAGTGGTTCAAGCTCACCAGCTGCTCCTTGGAAACCCTATACAGGGTCGCTATGGGTCGGAATCGACTCAACGGCACTTAACAACAACAACTGCTCCATATCCATCTCCTTTTTCCAAGATGAGAATAAAACTAATATGAAACAGCAAAAATATCTTAAAACGTGCATCTGGACTCCTAGTTTAGTAACACATTTGGTAACTTGAAATTTTTAAATCAACCGAGAAACCTTGCTTGAGATACCTCTTGTAATGCCAGAAGCTCTCAAGAGGAATGTTAATAAGAAGCGGTTATAAGAGAAGTTTAAGGAATTTCATTTAGCAAGATATTCTACCAAAACAAGTATATCCCTTCCCCCTTTACTTCTGGAGCTCCAGACACCTATGTCCAGGCCCTGTGGCCGGAGCAGATGGTCCAGCTGAGAACTCCAAACATGGACACAGCAGCTTCCCCCTTTCTAGTCTCTCCTGGACCTGAACTTTAGCTAAATGTTCTGGTGTAGGATCAGCACTGGACTGTGAACCACAAGGTCGGAAGTTAAAACCCACCAGCTGCTGCAACTTGGAAATCCTGCTAAGGATCAGTATGAGTCAGAACTGACTCAACAGCATTTGTCAACAACATCTACTTACTAATCTGTACAATATTTATTTGTTGTTGTTTTTGTTATTTTACTAATGCTATCAAAGAGCCTTCACCAGCATTCAAAGCTAGCGCTGACAGATGTCATTTCAGGTTGCCACTTTCAAAATGTGTAGTGCACGTGGAGTCCTGGGGCCAGAAGCAGCAGGTAGCCTTTCCCATCATTCCATGCCTGTGGTAAGTTATTTGGGGAGTTATGAGTAGATGTGACCCACTTTGTATCCATACATGGAACTCTCTGGTGCCTCAGTATGTCTTCTTAGTAAGAACTGAGATGGAGTTCCCATCTCCAGCACTGTCAGTAAACGCCTCTGATGTCTCCCAAGAACTTTCATGTAAACAGTTTATCTTATCCCTTTTATTCAATAGGAGTCCTGGTGTGGCACTGTGGGGTGGGTTAATGCGCCAGACTGCAAAGCCATTTGAACTACAAGGCTGGCAGTTCAAGCTCACCAGCTGCTCCTTGGAAGCCCTATACAGGGTTGCTATGGGTTGGAGTCGACTTGACAGCACTTAACAACACGAACAACAATCCAGCTAAGACTTCCTTCTTTTTTTATTTTAATTTTAGTGACACTATACACAGCAGAACATATACCCATTCATCAATTTCTACATGTACAATTCAATAACAGTGTTGAAATTCTTCAGGTGTGTTACCATCCTCGCTATTTCTACCCATATTGTTTTACCACCATTGACTCAGACTCACTACTCCCTAAATTTCTCATCTATGCTTTAGAGTTACTGTGGACAATTTGATTTCATATGGATAATTCTTTAAGTGAGCAACATGCTCAATACAAACATTTTTTTACTAATTTAGCTAAATAGACATTTAATGATGACTTCAGGAGGTAGTTTTGGTTCATGGTTTGCAGATTTGCTCAGAATTGATAGATTTGGGGGTTCTTCCAGTCCCAGTGTGGTGCTGGAGGATAAGCACTGGGTTGTTAATCTCAAGGTCAGTGGTGGTTCAAATGGAGAACCTCACTACCACCAAGGAAGAAAAGTCAAGAGTGGAGCACATCCTTTGGCCCCTGAGCTCCCTGCACTTTGAACCTCACCCCAAGGACAGAAAACTGCAACACCAGGGGAGCAGCAACGGAAGAACCAAGAGCCAGAACAGTGCATTTCCCAATCCACAGAGCATATAATGCTGAGCGCCTTTAGGCAGGATGCTCACTTGTATAGTGGGGTGACTCCAGAAAGCTAATTAGGGAGCTAGGGTTGCTGACCCATAAAACTAGAGCTGTGCCTTAGGGCTGAGGCTTTTAGTGGAATTAAGTACCCTTTGAGCATTTATCAGTAGTGCTAAAAGAGCTTTGTAACATCGCTGGAGCAATGTTAAAAAGGGCAGAGATCAAGTGGCCAGTGGCTGAGAGACCAAGGACCAGAGAGGCCTGCCAGCAAGCACAGCTGGGAAGAGACTGTCCGGACTGAAATAACTGTTCCTTGGGCATTTCTAATCCTGAGTTGTAACCTGTTAACTTCGCTAAGAAACCCCACAATTGTGAGTATGATGTCTGAGTTCTGGGTGGCCTCTGCAGTGAATTCTCAGACCCAGCTGAGTGGAGAGTGCTATGGGAGTCAGGGTTGGTATCAGAATTGGTAATTCTGAGGGTGGAGTGGGTCTAATCTCACAGGACTCAGGCTTGGTCTGATTTTTTACTTTGATTCTCCATCCTCCTTTGGCAGTAAAAGTAGGTCAAATGCTGCCCCTTCACCACATTTTTACAATGGATATGAGGTTGCTTTTGAGAAAGATGAATATGTTCTAAAATTAGATTTTGATGATGTTGCATGAGTCTATAAGTATGCCAAAGTCATTGAATTGCATCTTTTAAACAGGTGAATTTTATCATGAGTAACCTCAATAACCTATGAAAAATGAAGCCAAACATTGGATACATACAATTTTGCAAATATTGTTCCAACTGGTTCCTCCTCTCGTCAGCCATTGATGTGGTCATTGCCAGGTAGTACTTTGGTGGAAAGGGTGGCAGACACTTTCCAAAGACCCGCCTCAGCTGAAAGATCCAGAAAGCACACAATTAGGTGAGTACGACTCCAATCCAAAGCCTTTTCTTAGGTCAAGCCGCACTCCAGCACTTTGTTTAAAAATAATCCTTACTGGTGCTCAAAAGGAGAAGAAGAGGATGATCTCGTTTTCTTGGTCAGGATTTATAGCTGTGTAGGACTCCCCTGCTAGCCAATACTAGATCGCCCCTGTGAAATGTTTCACAAGCCAAAATGGTGTAAAGCAAAGAAGCAGTTATCATTCAATTATGTGGGGAAAACTTCAGTGTTCCCAGGTCCAAAAAATAATCTACCAAATCATACCAAATGAAACCTAAAATCACAGTAACGCATAGTGTTCAATGAGCCAGTTCAAAGCTCTGGCAGTTTGATGCTGAGACGCCGAGTGTAGTTCCTGGGGAAGGAGGTTGGTGATGCCACGCTTGCTGCCTGGAGTGTGCACTGCATCTTTAATAAACGCTAGTTTCACTTTTTGCCATTTTTCATAAAAGCAAAAATATTCTTCAGATTTCTTTGCATGAGCAAAAGCTAATGAAGGTACTTATGTAGGCCTCTGGTGAAAGCTAAGGGGCATGGAGTCCTGATGTGGTGCTGTGGGTTAAAGCACTGGACTGCAAGGTCGGTTTGAACCGCAAGGTTGGCGGTTCAAACTCACCAGCTGTTCCTTGGAAACCCTATACAGGGTCACTATGAGTAGGAACTGACGTGACGAGACTTAACAACAAGGGGCATAAAGTGAACTGTATCTGTTCTTAGAGATACTATTAGATATTTTACAGGCTGGCCACTCCAGTTTGTTTGGTCGGTTTGGTCCATAGTTTTAGTTTTCATTTGTTTAACAAGACTGCCCATACCATACAATAATTCCTAAATTCATTCCACAATAGTGTCATCAATATCAATGATGACAGGTAGGAGTGAAATTTCTCAACTCACCTCCCTTCCCCCTCCCCCAAATCTGACCTGAATAGACACATGTGTACAGTTGTGGTAGTCACTAGCCACCTGTGGCTACTGAGTCATGAAATATGACTGGTCTAAATGGAGATGCAAATTGCCCGTCAGATTTCAATGTCTTAGTACAAAAATTATTTCATTAATAGTTTCTCTATTGGTTACATGTTGAAAGGATAATATTTTGGATTGTTGTTGTTAAGGTTGCTTTGATTCATAGCAACCCTGTATAGGGTTTCTAAGGCTGTAAGTCTTTGAGGGGGCAGAAAGCCTCATCTTTCTCCCATGGAGCAGCTGCTGGGCTCGAACAGTCAATGTTATGGTGCTCAGACCAGTGCTTATCCTTCAGAGCCACTGGACTCCCCAATACTTTAGATATACTTGTTTAAATAAAAACATATTTAAATAAATAAAAATTTTAAAATATATTAAAATTCATCTCACTACATACTGAAGACCGCAGCATTCAGTATGGATTGCATCTCAATGTAAAGAAAATGAAAATTCTCTCAACTGGACCAATAAATAACATCATGATGAATAGAGAAAAGATTGAAGTAGTCAAAGACTTTATTTTAGTAGGATCCGTAATCAACACTTATGGAATCAGCAGTCAAGACATCAAATAATGTGTTGCATTAGGCAAATCTGCTGTATAAGACCTCTTCAAAGTGTTCAAGAATAAAGATGTCAGTTTGAGGACTAAGGTGCATCTGACCCAAATCATGGTATTTTCAATCTCCTCGTATGAATATGAAAGCTGGACAGTGAATAAGGAAGACCAGAGAAGAATTGAACAAACAATTCTGTATTGGAAGAAGTGCAATCAGAATGCTCCTTAGAAGCAGATGGTGAGACTTCATCTCTCATACTTTGGACATGTTATCAGGAGGTATCAGTCTTTGGAGAAGGACATTATGCTTGGCAAAGTAGAGGGTCAACAAAAAAGAGGAAGACCCCCAAAGAGATAGGTTGGCAGAGTGGCAGCAACAATGGGCTCAAGCATAGCAACAGCTGTGAAGTTGGCTCACAGTCAGGACCAGACAGTGTATTACCATTCGGTTGTGCATAGGGTCACTCCGAGTTGAAACCGACTAGATGGCACCTACCCCCACCCCCACCATAACATTTAAAATTACATATGTGGCTCGCATTATATTCTCTTGTGCACTGCTGATCACTACAGAATCCCTGTAAAGCTAACATATGATCCCAACAGAAATATAATCAGCCTCTTCCCTACCACCCACCTACATGTCACCCAATAAAGATCATGGTGATCTTATTTTTATATAAACAAGGTTGGCAGTTCAAATCCACAAGCCACTCCTGGGAAACCCTACACAGGCTCAATATGAGTCGGAACTAACTTAATGACACACAGCAACAACAGTGAACGCACTCCAAAAAATATATTCTTCATTCCATTTCCACAGACTGAAGAAAAGGCATCATTCTCTTAAACCGGACGAAAGAAGACCACTCAGAAACCCAGTCGGGTTTAACAGGGTCCCTCAGAAGTAGGAGGGCTTATAGAAAACTAAACCTATTGAAATGGTTTGCCTGACCCTTGAAGTCATTTAAATTTGCAACCTCTCATCAAAATCTAGTAGTATATTTTATCACCGCAATTCTATTTCCTTTAAACTTGAGGAATTTTCCTGCCTTGCCCAAGACTGTGCAAGGCATTCCTGTTGAAGCAGCATCCGGGGCAGGGCTATTCAAACAACCTGGGGTTTATGCACTGGTCTCTGCTAATGTCATTAAATGGAAGCAGAAATTTGTCTTCTTTGCATGCAATTATTTCTTGATTAACTGATTAAGTGATCTTTAAAAGGCAATTGTATTCCTTGGCATGTGTTCATAAATGTCGCAGATGCTCTCAAATTGGTTCTAATCACAGCAGCCTTGAGCCAGCAGGGCTACCTGGGTTATCCAGCCGCAGGAGAGCATCTGGGGAAGCACCTACCTAAGGCTGGAGCTGGGAAAAATGTCAACAAGGATTAAAGCTACTAATACCTGTCACAGAGCAGAAACCCTTCCAGCAGGTTTTACAACCTGAGCTGACATCCAAGGAATGCTCCCCTCCCTTCTCCAACATTGGTCTAAGGGGGAAGATAAATACACAGTGGTTATGTTTGCCAAAAGTCAATCAGCAACTAAAGTTCTTCAACTCTTCCAAAATAGAACCTACTCTATAGGTATCAGATGGTGCATAGTTTAGCTAGCTGAACAATTCGGACAGAGAGACTTATCCTGTACTAGGGGTCCTGATGTGGCACTGTAGGACAAGTTTGCTGGTTCAAATCCACCAGCCACTCCTCAGAAATCCTATAAAGGATCATTAGGAGTCAGAACCAACTAGACAGAACTTAACAACAACAACAAGGTTTAGCCAAGGAACTTTGGTGACGTAAATGGTTAAACATTAGGCTGCTAACCAAAAGGCTGGTGGTTCAAACTCACCCCAAGGCCTTGTGAGAAAAAGACCTGGTAACTTGCTTTCATAACAATTACAGCCAAGGAAACCCGATGGGCAGTTCAACTCTGTCAAGATGACTCAATGGCATCTAACAATAAAGAGCAAGGTTTAACTGTGAGGTGATATTGAGGAGATGGCATAAAACAACAACAGGATTTAGCACAATCTCTCTTTCAAAAATACTGTTCAAAGAGATCCACTCGTTGGGTCTGTTTTGAAAGACCATATTCAAGAAATACAAATATATACAGTGGTGTGATTGTGTCCGTGGGGTCAGTTCTAACTGATAGCAACCCTGAATAAGGTTTCCAAGGCTGTAAATCTTTATGGGAGCAAAAAGCTTCATCTTTCTCCCAAGGAACAGCTGATGGTTTTGAACTGCTGACCTTAAGGTTAGCAGCCCGACTCGTAACCACTATGCTACCAGAGCTCTCTCTATATATATACTGCCTTCAAGGACTCCACGTGTGTGTGTGTGTGTGTGTGTGTATGTATATATATATATATATAGAGAGAGAGAGAGAGAGAGAGAGAGAGAGAGATAGAGAGAGAGAGAGAGTGTGTGTGTCCTGGTGTGGCTGTGGGTTAATGAGCCAGACTACAAAGCCGTTTGAACTGCAAGGTTGGCAGTTCAACCTGATCAGTTGCTCCTCGGAAACCCTATACAGGTTCGCTAAGGGTCAGAACAGACTCGACAGCACTTAACAACAATATATATGCATAGCAAACCCTATATAGCATTGTTATGAGTTGGAACCCACAAGTAGGTTCTGACTCATACAATCCTATGTAGGGTTTCCAAGTCTCTACATCTTAGTGGGACCAGAAAGTCTCATCTTTCTCCCGGTGGGCTTAAACTGCCAACTTTGTGTTTCACAGTCCAGTGCTTATCCTACAGAGTACACACACACACGTATCTCCCAGATGATCTCCTCATGCTCATTCCAGAATAATGAGAACCTGGGACAAGTGGAAGTAAGACACAAACTGTCCTTTCTACGATCTCTTTTTTCAATCCTGAGGCATTCATCCCATTTCCCCAAGCGCCCTTTAAGCAAGAATCCAGATTCATTAGCTAAAGGGTCACAGCAAAGCAGCTCTGTGAGGTGAGTCATCAACACCATCATCATTAATGACGTCATCTTGCCACCTTGACAGCGAAGTACCTGACACTGAGGAGCATGAGCACACGGTCCCACAGCTAGTGGTCAGCAGAATCTGGACTCAGTCTGTTCACTAGCAGAGTCATCCTCCTCCTCTATTGTGACAGGACAGTCTACGCCAGAGTCTTCACCCACTAGACAGGTGGGTTTTACTCCTAAATAATCAGAAGAAACCAAATGCACACACAAAAAGAGGAACATGACAAGATTCTAAACACAAATCTGGAAAAACACAGACATCAGAGGGAAACGTCATGTACAATCAAGGGGGGGGGGGGCGCTCCTAGATATGGGGCTTTATATGGGCCTTGAGAAAGGGTTGATGTCTGACAAGTGGGTCAGAAGCCAGGGATCTTTCCAGATAGGGGACATGAGCTGGGCAGAGGCAATA